AATATAAAAAATTTCAACTTTTCAGCATCACTCGATCGCAGTTATATTCAAATTGTTTTAGGTAGACACGTTAAACGTTGTGCCATCCCTAATCTCCTTCTTATGTCGTGTAGACACTGAAAGATTCGATTTGTCATCCCTGCGTACTGTACTCTGTGGCTCAAGCTCTCTAGGAAAAGAACTCAGCAAAGCATTTTTAGAGAAGTTTCCTTCTGTTAAGAATCTGATCCAAGGTGAGGTTTTGCTTCCTATTTACCAATTAGCAATATTCACTGTTTTGAATAAATTCCCAAAATTGACAAACATTTGTACAGCTGCTTAACACTTAGTAATAAGTGGAATTACCAATATAACAGTATCCTTTGGAAAATAAACTGGCACGATTAAAAGTAAAACGTCTAAAAATATGTCTGTAATTTCACTAAAGGATAAGTAAAAATCACAAAGTTAACCCTGAATTAAGGCTATGGAATGACTGAAGTTGTGGTGCTCAGCCATCTCACTCCCCTAGGACTTCCTGATGATAAACATTTAGGAAGTTGTGGAAAACTTCTTCCAGGCTTCCAAGCTAAGGTACGAAGGTTATACGAGGCTAATTTGGACTTAATGACAAAACAAATAATTTCTTTTGCATAGCTTTGTTCATCTAAGCTTGATTCAGCTAAAACATGAAGCCGGTCACGTTATTGACAAGCCGAACATACCAGGAGAGCTCTACATCAAATCGCCCACTGTTATGCTGGGATATTTCAATATGAGTGATGAGGATGAAAATGTCGTTGATGAGGATGAATGGTTAAGAACTGGTAAAATAGCTTCGGTTGATTCCTCGACAAAAAAAAACATTTAGCTGACATTAACCATATGTTATAGGCGATGTTTTGTACTATGATGAAGATGGATTCTACTATGTGGTCGGTCGTGTGAAGGATCTTATAAAAGTTAATGGCGTTCAGGTTTCTCCTTCGCAGTTGGTAAGCCATTTTTTTCTTGAGCCATAACTTGTACTGTAGTCTGCAGATATGTTCAATTCTATGAATTGAGAATTAGCGATAGAAACTGTAATATTAGGAATTTATGACACTTTCCTAAACTTCCTAAAGTCAAACTTTTTTTTACTGAAACAAAAATCTTGAAGTCAAAATCAAAGTCAATGTCAGAAAGAAGCAACGGTTTTTTA